GTGAAAACAGCAAAAAACGCGTTTTGTACGTTATGGATAGTTCTGGGCGCCCAATTGGTGACCCGAGTTACTGTAGCGCGGGCCACCAATTGGTGACCCGCGGTTACTGTAGCACGGGTGACCCGCGGTAACTGTAGCGTGGTTACTGTTGCTGTCTTAACTCCCTCATCCGACCTCGGAATGAGATAATTCAAGATGCGTTAGAAAGCTGACGAAGAGACCTTCAATGTTTATATTTTGAATATTTCCAGATTAGAATTGTATCATGGTCAAAATATCAATTCTTTGTGCGGGCCACTTTGAGGTGTTTGACACTTTCTGACTTCTCCGGACTTGTATTGCGCATTTCGTCATTCCGTTGACTTGTACACTCTAATGACTCATTTTGTATATTCATTACTTCCACAGGGCCAGATAATCCTTTCCTGACTTGAATGATGATGCTTATCGTTTGTATTTCGCTTCGAGCTGCGTACGGGAACCCATAGGCAATTTTTTTTTACGCCTACAGAGATAATGATGATGATAGTACGAAGATTTGGGATTTTAGGGTGGCCATTATTTTTTTCTTTTTCTTCCTTTGAATCTTCGGTCTATTTCTTCGTTTAATTTCATTTGAAGGTGTGTTTGGGTTTGTTGTTTGGGGGGTTTGTATTGTGCGGAGAGGTATATATAATAGAGGAGGAGGGAGGGGATGTGGGATTTGAAGCAATCATGTATGAATGTAGTTGAGATTATTATGGGTTGAATGTGATAATATTGTTGACTGATTTGGTTTTCTTGTTTGAAACTGGAATATTATTAGTTATGAAGATGTGAAAAGGCCTACCACTTGATTGGATAAAAACTACAATAATATACATTTTTTATTTTATGTCGCCTATATATGATTTGGAAATTTCCAAGAGAGCGAACTTTCACTCTATGTACAAATGGAGGGAGGTAGTCCACGCTACATTACATATTAATTATGAAATATACAAAAAGATCAACCACATATACTAATATCATTATTAATTAATTTTTTTATAATTATTATTTTATACAACAACAATAACTAAGTCTTTATCCCAAATATTTGGGTCGGCTACATAAATTCTATATTTCCATTTCAATCTGTTATGGGTCACCTCCTCCGTTAAATTAGTCTTAATCATATCCTTCTTTATTGCTTCTAACCAAGTCATTCTAGGTCTGTCTCTAGATCTCCTAACCCCATTAATTCTAATATTATCACTTTTCCTAATCGGTGTACTAAGGGGTCTTCATTATACATGACCAAATCATCTTAATCCGTTCTCTCTCATTTTTATCCTCAATAGACGCAACCTCTAATTTCCTACGGATGTACTCATTTCTTATCATATCTTTTAATGTTTACCCATAAGACCATCGTAACATTCTCATTTCTGCTACACTCATGCTTTGAACATGTTGTTTTTTAATTGCCCAACACTCTGATCCATAAAACATAGTTGGTCTTACAACTGTCCTATAGAATTTTTTCTTTAGTTTCATTGGTATTCTATGATTACATAAAACTCCAGAAGCACTCCTCCATTTCAACCATCTGACTTGATTCGATACACAATCATCCTCTATCTCACCTTCATGCCTAATGATTGATCATAAATAGCGAAATTGATTAGATTTAGGTATTTCTTGGCCATCAGTATTTATCATAGGCTCTCTTCCTTTTCTAGTTTACTAAAAATGTACTCCATATATTCTGTTTTTGTTTTACTAATTCTAAAATCTTTAGATTCAATAGATTATCTCCATCTTTCTACTTTAGAAATTAATGTGACTGTCTACATCATCGAGGTACAATCAGGACAAAATTCTACTTTATGGACAATGAAATGTTATAACGAATTAATCACCCAAACTCTAATCTCACCTATATTCCATCTCTTCTTTTCCCCCTCTTTTGTATACAACAAAAATAGACGATTATAGTATATGTTTACAGCTTAGTGTTTTTGTCTATAGGAACGAAAATACAAAAATAACCTCATCATACAAAATTCAAATTCAAGTTTCACCCCAAAAGTGCATCCCTCAAAGATGCCAGTCGAGAAGCACTGCCACCTGGACATTATTTTAGGTTTTTAATTTAGCCCAAGTTGAATTAGAGGAAAACATTGAGCTTGGCGTTAGCAGTGCACAAAATGCAAATGAAGAGGAGTATGTGGAGGATGTAGAAGATGATGCTGATCAGGTTGTATCTGAAAATGAATATCATTCAAATAAAAGTTTATTGGGTTTTCTAAACCCTTGTTGCGATTTGAAAATAGAGATGAGGAAGAGAAAAAGAACAATCACAGAGAACACAGAGAATTTTACGTAGTTCACTTCTCAACGAGAGAAGCTATGTCCACGGCCGACAATCACAGAGAACACAGAGAATTTTACGTAGTTCACTTCTCAACGAGAGAAGCTATGTCCACGGCCGCCGCAAAAAAAAAGTTCACTATTCTCAGATTAGTTTACAAGCTACCCTAATCACCCCTTTTATAGCATAGGGTTATTACAAACAAGAATCTAAAACAGACTAGAAAACAAGCCCAGGCCCAAACCCGTGTCGTGGTCGACCGCCAACAATGGCGGGGTCGACCGACCATAACGTCAAAATCTCAGAGTTAGACTCTGCGTATTGGGCTGAAAATGCAGCAATGAGCTCTGTATTTTGATCTGGAACACAGCGATGAACCTTGTGTTTTGGGCTGAAAACACAACAATGAGCTCTACGTTTGGATCTGGAATGTAACGATAAACCTTATGTTTTGGACTGAAAATGCAGCAATGAGCTCTGTGTCTTAATTTGAAGAGACCGTCAATTTGTAGTCTTTTTTGCTAGAGCGTTGCATAGATCGCCATCTTGTAACCTTCGTCTTGGCTCCTTAAAAATATGAGAGTCGTCAGATTGTAGCTCCCGTTATTGATTGTGAAAGCTGTTTAATTAGAGCTTTCATCGGTTGTTGTAAATATCGTCAGATTATAATCTTCATCGATCTACGTGAAAATTTTCAAATTGTAGTCTTCTGGAAGCCGTCAAATTATAACTTTCATCATCGGTATTTGATGAGGATTAGCTATCTGTAGTAATTTTTAGACAAGCTACAAGTTGCTATCTGTTCTACACTCGTACACTAAAAAATTGCAAGAGTAGCTCGTGTAATCCTAGTAGCGTGTAAATCCCCTAATATTGCGCAAAAAGGGGCGTTCTTATAAATAGAGGCTCTTAGCCAACATCCAAAGGGCTCCAAGGCTCCAAGGCTCCAAGCTTTTACCAAAGTCTCTTACATCATATCTAGGCCTTCTTGCTTGGACTTTGAGTTCTCCTTTGCTCCAATAGGATTTCTCCTCCTTTAGGTCGCTTCAGCGACATACTCCCTCTTTATTGGAGATTTTTCATCGGCCTACTACCTCTCCATCGAGGTTTGCTCATTAAGGTTCCTATCACTCGAGAGTTACTACTACTTCCAAATGAGTTCCATTTGTCTCATAGTGTTCTACATACACCTGAGAGTGATTCTCTTATCTGAAGTTATCTTCTTTCTTTAAGAATAACTTTTGGTCTTTCTCACTTGCAATTGAGCTACTCTTCCTCCAAGGTATAAGCTTCACCAAGGGGCGATGTTAACACCTTCCGCCTCATCATATAGTTTACAAAAATCCTGATCTATCTTTATCAGCACAAGGTCAAGAACTACCTAAACAAAAACAAGAAGTAAGCAGACCGGATCCCTTCTCTGCTCGTTGGAAGTCTAGATCGTGAGGATGCCCACATCACCTGATTTGAGTGGAAACTAGTGAGCGGGGATGGGTATACGGGGTAGTAAGTTAAAGTTAATCATTACTCATATGATCTTTGTCCTCTATCATGTTTCACATATATCTTCCCTGAAATAATTGTGAAAGAAAAACTTAAAGGGGG